CTGTTATTATTAATCCTGTGCATCTGATTCAGGTCACCTGAAAACAGAGACAGAAAGAACTTGATGTTTGTCTTTAGTGTTTTAAATGAAATGTAAATCAGCTTCTGTATATTTACTTTAGATTCTAGCCACAATAAAGTAAAGATGTACTAATACTGTATAACAAAACCATAGTTGCATAATGCAAAAATAATGGTGCAAAAGGGCTTTATATGGAAAGGTTCAGTGCAGTGCAAAATAAATATGGTGCAAAATGCAGTAGGACATTGACTTGTGTCCTATTGAAAAAGATTTATAAAATGTTCAGCCACTGTGGTGGTGGTGCAAAATAATGTTGCAGGTGTGATGCAGAGTCCAGTTTAGAGTTCAACATTTCAACAGTGGGGGGAAAAGCTGTTGCAGAACCTGCTGGGCCTGCAGCGGATGCTGCGAAGCCTCTTCCTCTCTTAAACCAGATGTTAATATTTTTTAAATCACTCATCAATCAAGCGGATGCAGACCAGGTGGTAAGGTTTGATTGATTCCTGATGAAAGAAGGCAAATAGCAGCATGCATTGCGAAGCAACTGTAGGACTCATGCCTTGCAGCAAGGGAGGGCCAAATCCTGGCCTGGTTTACATGTGTGGGTTAAACACCTCCATGCAATGAAATCTACCAATAACAATAACAAAAAAATTATTGCTTCTCTGTAATGGACTGGGGACGTGTCCAGAGTACACACTGCTACTTTCTCCTAACCCAAGAAAAAAAGGCATCCCACAAGAGGAACAGCCAATGGATGGAAACAAATAAAAATGATGCATTGATCCTCAGATTCCATCTGCTTCCGGATTCTAATCACACCTTGCATGATAACATCTTCATCCCATCTTTTATGAAGACGTGACATTTATAGCCCGTGTGGAGATTGAATTAAAAGATTGAAATATATTTTAATCCATTTTGGATTCAAGCACAGGTAACACAGGCATATCTCCGGAAGAGTCACTCCTCTGATGAGTGTTATTGTCTACTACTAAATGTAAAACTACTAATTGAATGTAATGACCAGTCCACTTACAAACAATGTTTCCATGTTTGTCCTTAATTGGCGCTCCTGCTCCTCCTTTCCCCCAGGGGTCATACACCGCCATCTCATCCAGCAGCTCAGCAGCATCTCTCCTCTTCTTCTCTTTCTCTCTTCTTACATTCTCTTCTTTTTCTGTAATCTGAACAAAGACATTGTTGCAAAATTCTTCTTTGAGCTGCAATAATTATTTTACCTGCTTCCTCAGTGCTTCTCTGTAGCTCAGGGTACTCTCGTTCCTTCGCCTGGAGCTGTCAGCGGGACGCCCCTCAATATCCAGGAGAGAACCACTAGAAGCAGGAGTGACAAACTACTAAATAAAAAATCTAAATGTGCTGATCACTTCTTCTGGAATAGATCTCAACTAATAAATTCTAATTTATATCCACTTAACTTTTAGATTTAGTTTTAGGACAAACAAGACAATATTATGGATTATTTTTGCGGCCCTAATGTGAGCATTTACCTAATGAGTCCAACAGGTTGCAGCCTTGCAGGGGAAGTCTCATTCTCCGGCTGAGCCCCTCCAAGCACACTAACTGTAAAGAGGATTCAAAATGAGAATATTTTTATTTTGAAAAGTATACAATTTCTGAGTTAATAAAAGTTTTATAATAATGAGATTTTATAAAAACAGAATAATATAAATATAAAGAGGCAACCATCTGTGTTTGTCTGCATTGATAGTAGATATATGGAACTTCTAAACAGCTAAAGTGTTCTGGAGTGTTTTCTAAAACAATTAACACCTTGTCGCATTTTATCAGGATATAAAGTGACATTATCACGTAAAAGTCATTCAATCATTTACAATCTGAAAACCATGATATCTATTTGCCCCGCTTTTCTTCAATCCTCCCTAATAAAACCCAGTACAACAACTTCCTTCAGATGTTTCCAACTTAAATACAGTTGTTTCATTTAATCTCAAGATAAATCCTGCTGCTCTGTTAATCCCACAGACATTTATTAGAGAATATCGATTGAAAAGGAGTCAACTGTAAAGTGCCTTGAGATGACATGTGTTGTGAAATGGCGCTATATAAATAAACTGAATTGAATTGAATTGAATGACGCACATTTCCTTTCTCAGTTTGTAAGAAAAGAAAGTTTGAAACATACTTTATAGTATAGTTCAACGCTATGTTTGTCTGTCACATGAAACCTCAAGAGTTTCTGTTCTTAAGGTTACAAAATGTGAAAAAAAGGAACATTTATGAACATCTTTTTGTGACGATGTAGGAAAAGCAATAAAACCTGAAGACATTATCAGGGTTCTATTGCTCTGATCCTCTGGGCCTGGTGTCCTGCTACTGTTAGGTGCTTCTCTATTCAAACACATCTGTAGCAAAAACTCCAATCATTATCAAAGCGTTGTAGAACCAGACTGAACCTTAAGGAGTTCAATCTGATTCAGATGTTCTGCCCCCAGGTTACATTAAAAGTTGCAGGACACTAGCCTTCCGGAACTGCTGGACAAATACACACATCACACTAACCATGGGCGGTTCTAGCCAGGTGCCAACAGGTGCCAATATCCCTGTAGAACTGGCCCTGGCTCCTGTTATGGCCCCTGTACTAAAAACATATACTGCAAATATTTAAATGTAAGTAAAAAAATTTTTAAATATATGTGTATTGCCTTGATATGAGCAGGTAGGTAAGACAATTTGCAGATGGAATGAGAAGTTTTATGTTAAAAAAAAAAGAATAAAAATAACAATTATCTTATTTCCAGTGCATAGTGTTGAATTATTTTGTTTTGGGGGCTAAAACACTTCTTCTTTTGGCAGATCATCTTATTTACAAGATCAAATTAAGGGCAAAATGCTGGTTTAAAGAAACTTCAATAACTTTAAGGTCCGTTTTGCAGTGTAATACTAAACTAGTTACTTATAACATGCATGGAAAGAACAGGGCTGTAAGTAATTTATCCCTTGGACCAATTAAATATCATGCAATTGAAGTTTACTGGAGCAGTTATTTAGAAATGACAGTTTTCAGCTCAATTAATAAACTATAAAAATGGGTAACACAAAATTTGACTAACTTCTAGAGTACTCTTTGGGAACTAATCAGGAACTAATGGGTGATTAACCATTACTTACTTGGACAGTGTATTCCCCAGGAACTACTGGTTAACTACTACTAATTAAATCCTGATTTATTCCTCTTTTGTTACCTTGATAACTACCCATTTGTTCCTGATTAATTACTCTTTGTGTCCCATGTAATTAAGCAGTAGTCCCATAATGAAGCAGAGCTGTTTCTTCCCCAGTAATGATTCGTTACCCATTAGTTCCTGATTAGTTCCCAAGGAGTTCTCTAGTAGTTATTCAAATTTTGTGTACCTCATTGTAAAATGTTATTTAAAAATGTGCTCTTGCTTTGTTCTTTTTTTGTGGGTAATCTGTTGTTTTTTGCACCCATGAAAAATCAGTGCCCCTCCTCCCACTGGTAAATGTTGTCTAGAACCACTATGAACACTGACAGGACTGCACTTGCATGCCAGGCTGGTGTGACTCTGATACTTTACTTTGCTTTCTGGTTGCGTCTTGGTGTAAAGCTGGATTACTCTGACCTATGCCGGCGTCGGAAACCATGTGAGCTACAGGAGGACCTACAGCGAGCCTGCAAAACATAATCCAAATTTAAAGCCAAATAAATTCCCTGGTATTCAGTTGATTAATTTGTATAAAGTCCCTGTTTAAGGTTCCTACCTTGGGAAGGCCGCCTGTCCTTGCATGCCTGGGAAGCCACTGTAGTGATCAAACGGTGGGACTGGTTCCACCGTTCCCTGGTTGAGGCTCACCAGGGGATTTTCTCCAAGATTTCTGTGTTGTGGGCTTTGAAAGAGATTGCCACATTTCGGATCAAACTCTTTGGTCTCAAAAACATCCTGCTTCAAGTTCTCAGGCTTTTTAGAGGCAGCGCAAGATTCCCGTTTGCACTCAGGCTGAGAAAAAATTGATCATGTTTTAGCAATAAATAAACCTGAAAGGAGTTTCTTGGCTTTTCCGTTGAATGTCAATAATTCACCTCTTTCCTAGGAGCTGGAGTCTCAGTGGCACCAATGTTCATCCTAGCTCTTTGATCCCTGGAAACAACAGTTAATAAGAACTTATCTAATGTTAACACTGAGAGTCCGGCCGGTCAGTGTTGGGCAGCTTCACCCTGAACAGATCAGCAGGTCGTCATCCATTTAACCTTAAACTACTCACAGTTTGATGATCAATTTTTATACAATTATATATATGATGTTTAGTCTTCCCTCTTACCAAAGCTGTTTTTCTAGAGATTATTTCCGATCTTT